GATTCTTAACTATGTCTTAGTTGGATGAATAACAATTGTTGCAAAATAAATCTAAATTATTTTTGTTCAGGTCTTGTTTAATCTTTGGGTGTTGGTAGCGTTGTTATCCCTGGACAACAAACACGGGTTTGCATGTCTGTCAGCCTCTGCATATACAGTCAGTCTGTGGCTTCACAAGTGGGTATGTGCTCTGGTATTAATGTACTAACTACTTATACAAGATTAAACTAATAGGTTAACTGACAGCACATATAAATGCTCATTTAATCGTCTTGATTCTTTGAGAATAGTGCAATGAAAATTTTAATGTATATCGTACTAAACACTTGGGAATAAAGTAATATCTATTCCATGGAAGCTTTTCTAGAATTAGCAGGAGGACCATTCCCTACTCGTTTATGAGACCAGTATTATTGCGACTTAAAACAGGACAAAAACTTTATAAGAAAGTGACGCTTCAGACCCAATCCCCCTTCGCATAGACACCCATATCCTCATACTTCTGTTGTCACCTGAGGCAGGGTCTCACTGTGTATCTCAAGATGGCTTGAATTTGCTAGCCTTGAACTCTCAATATCTCTTGCCTCTGCCTGCTGGGTGCGGGGATTATAGGCACGGGGCACTACACCTAGCCAGTACTAGCAAATTTGGTATTGAAATTTATGACAAATTTTGGGGAGATGGAACAGTTGATAAAGTTCCCAGTACATAGAATAAGGACCTGAGCCCTACAGAACCCGTGCAAATGCAGAACATGGTGGCATGGATTTGTAAGTCGGTACTGGAAAGGCAGGAGCAGGTGGATCACTGGAGTTAACTGGATATCTAGCCAATCAGTGATCTTGGGTTTTTGAGTGAGATCCTGTCTCAAAAAAAATAAAGTAAAATAGAGAGTGGAGAGGTGTTGAGGCAGACATTCAACACTGACCTCTGGTCTCTGCATGCACACAAGCATGCACATCGGTGTATACACTCAACACACATATGTACACAACAACAACAAAATAAATCAGGAAAGATAATCCACCGTGTCCACATTTCTTTGGTTGAGTAGAGGCTGGAGGGATTGCTCGGTGGTTAAGAGCACACGCTGTTCTTGCAGATGACCTAGGTTCCACTCCCAGTGCCAACGAGGCAGCTCACAACTAGCTATAGCTCCAGTTCCAAGGGATACAATGCCCTCTTCTGACGTCTGTAGACATTAGGCACACTCATGCTGTGCTTACACGCATGCCAGCAAAACACTCAAGAACATAAAATTAGAAAGAAATTCTTACCAGGTGTGGAGGTTTACGCTGGGATTACCAGCATTTAGGAGGCAGAGGCAGATGGATCTCTGTGAGTTCTGGGTCAGCCTGGTTTCAGGTTGATGGCAGAGCTTGCTTAGATGCGTGGCTGTTCTGTATTGATTCCTGCCATTCTTCACATTGCTGCCTTATTTTAGAAGTTCTACAATTCTGTCTTACTATTTATTTCAGGTGCACACAACTAATTCTAAGAAGGAAGAGGAAGTCACAGATTTCAAATAATAACTAACCGGAGAGACAGTTTAGGTGTTTTCTTTTCAGCTTGGCTTTCAGTACTTTAACTTCCCACTACCTTGGGAATGTTGTGTTACTATTCTATGAAAAATGAAGATGCTTTTTATAGATTACATCGTAGCAATTTAGGTGTTATCCTCAGCTAATTCCCATAATTAAAATTCACAGACATACCTAATAACAAATAAAGTTTTCACAGTAGCTCCATTTTTACTTTGTGTTCTGTGATTTTTAATAATCAGAGCATTAGCTTGCTCTGTAAATTTCAATTGAAAAGCAAACAGAAAGCTCAGCGAGGTCTCTCATATTTGTCTAAGTCTCTAAAATCCACACTGACTTTGTTCCAGATATATTGAATTTTTTTCTCTGTTTTCATTTGCTCTTCTGCCTGCAGGGGGTTGGGGGAACAGAGATGACGGAGTAAGAGTAACCGCCTGTTTTTAATCATGCATGGACATCTTACTGGAATACATATTATTCATTTATTCAATTCAGTGATATTCATTTCCAAGACTCCTTTAGCTCACTTACAGTTATCATTAAAAAAAAAAAAAAAAAAAAAAGGCTGCAGCGGAGCAGTCTGCAGGCAGCAGCGTGAGCATTTGTAGATGTTTTTCCAGGACTGTGATGACCATTAACTGCTCTGGCGGCTGTCCGTACTGGCCAAGGAGCTGGCCGAAGTGCTGAAATGCTTGGCCTGTGTGCCTCAGGAACAAACAGGACAGCATTTCCTCAAGGTGTTTATTTGTTCATGGGACTGAAGCTAAATCCAGAGGACAGTTCTCAGGACTCCTCTGTCTTCTGTGGCCAGCTGTGGTGCTACTTATTAAGATACTGTCTCTCAGCATCAAACCTTCCTTTTTGTATTCTTTTTTTTTTTTTTTTTTTTGTCATGATGGAAGTGGTAGTCACAGATCCTGATGTGGCTCTCAGTTAAGCTTGGCCAAGAGGAGATAAGAGAGAGACAGAGAGGCTGGGGAGGGAGAAGGGCTTCACTTTCTCACTTTGCTTCCTGTGGACCCCTGCTCTGTGGTGGTTCATGCCTTAGGAAGTCTCTACTCCCGCCATGGTGGTACATTCCTGCTTCAGTGTGTAATTTCAGTTTTCACTATTCAAGATGGTTGAGAAACTACCTGTGTGCATTGAATGGTGTTTTCCCCAAAATTTATGCTTTCCTAGGACCCCAGAATATGACTTTATTTATAGATAGGGTCTTTGCCACAAAATAGTTAGGATGTGGCTATAGTTAGGGTGAGGTGGCCCTCCATCCCATGACTCTTGTCCTCACAGGAAGGCTATGTGAGAGAGACAGGCTGGAATAACAGACCATCTGCCAAGAAATGCCGGAAATTACGAGCAACCACAAGTCAGAAGGGAAGCATGGAAGTGAGCCCCTCCTCAGGGCCTGCCTCCAGGGTGTGGCCCTGCTGACGTCCTGACTTCCTGTTTCTAGCTCTCTGAGTATGCAAGGATGAATTTCTGCTATTTTAAGCCATGGCATTTGTGGTAATTTCTTATGGTGGCCTCGGGAAATGAAAATCCTGTCTTACACTGGCCCACCACAGCCTCAAGCAGAGGGCAAGCACTGCCATTTCAGAGCAGGGATAAAAAAACGCCTCAGAGTCTCTTCTTAGTCGCTCAGACCAGGCAAGAACAACTGATTTTAGATCAATAGCCCCTTCCTCTAAACTTAGTTAAGACTAAAATTGCTCACCTTTGCTGCCCCACCTCCCCACCCTGAACCCAGGAGGTGGTACAATTACTTTCCTGGCAGTTGCCACCTTCATGTTGCCTTGAAGTTCTCTTTTTACCCTTTTGTTAGCTAGGTCATTGTTTACATTAAGTTTTCTTTCAGTCCTTTGTCTGTGACCGCTGTATAGCTCTTTGTTAGGTCTTCATATTAATTCCCAGTAAAGTCACACTCTTTGTCTTTCTTCACCACATGGATTCCTTCTTGTTTGACTTTGGTGGCATATGCCCTTCTCTGGCTTCTTAGCCTCCATGAGCCAGGCTGAAATCCTCTCTTCCCCTCTAGTCTCCTTTCTTCAATGCCTTCTCTTTTCCTCTCTTTCTTTCTGGCAATTTTATTCATTGTTATGTCTTTAAAATCCAGTCATATGCCTCAGCTTGGTAGCCACTTCTCCCTTGGCTGTATGATAGATACAAAAGCCAAACTCCTGAACCTTCCCTATCCCTCACACCAATTCCTGCTGCTTCTTCATCCTTCCTCTCCTCAGTGGCTGGAAAACACACACTCCACTTTCTCACTTTCTTCTCAGCCTACATCAGGAAGTCCTTGTGTCTTTAGTTTCAAACTAAACTATAATCTGGCCATTTCCCAACATGTCTACTGCCGCCCCCAACAACTGTGTGATAGCTTGAGGTACCAAAGCCTCCACTCTTTGGTGTCTCTGTTCCTGCCTTTATCCTTCTAACATCAGCAGTATAGTCGAAGCAGTGCCGGGAGTAACATCACATCGCATCTCTTCTCTGCTCAGGACTCTGTAAAAGCTGAAATTCCTACCTAAACCACAGGCTTCACAGGATCTGATCTTCTTACTGCCTGTGTGAGCTCAACCTCTGCTATACTGTTAGTTGCTCTATTCCAGCTGTGCTGTTGGAACCTTCCTGGTCCTCTGATACACCAAGTGCTCTCCTCACTTTTCTCCCCTCAGTTTCAGATATTCTTGCTCTTTATATCCTCTTTAATGACTCTTCCTCCCTTCCTCATCTAGCTACAGCTGGATCACTCCGTCTGTCTCATTGCCTCATTCATTTTTTTTAACAGTATAGATCACCTTTGGTAAACTATATGCTTTGTTTTCGGGGTTTTCTTCTTTTGTTAGCATGTGAGCTCTGTGAAGCAGGGATCTTTCTTATTGTACCCTGACTGTTTGAAGTATCTGACACACACAAAAAAGTCTGTAAGTGCATACACAATGCTGAGAACGAAGACATTCAGAGATTAAAAAGAGCTCAAGGGTATGCTGTACTTTTGAATTAATGTAGCCCTTCCCCAAATGAAGACAAAAAAGGAATAAATACTAACAGATTTGACTAAGCAGTCTAATGGAAAGATTTTTCAAAACTCTAATATTTAACTTTTTAGGAAAATCCGTGAACATTTCAAAAATGAAATGATTAACACATTTGGAAGTTTCTACAAGAGTAAAAGTAAGGCAAAAACTACAAGGCAAAAACTAAGCTTTTTGCCTAATTCTGGCATTGGACAATGGTACAATTTTGTTTTTATTGTAAGTCCAAGTGTATAATATACAGTTACTTCTGTGCTGACCTTTAGGCCATTAAACACAGCTTAGGAAATACTACCATATATCAGTGGGCTGACCCAGAGTCAGATTTTACAAAATCACAATCCAAATATAACAAGAAAATAATAGGGTTCAAATGACATGTTCACTCAGCAATGTGTTGAGTAGGGAAGAATTGATTATGTAAGTGCTCTCCTGAAGCACATGTACTAAACCTGGAATGACACAGAGAAGAAAAGCATGGTCCCTGTGCAAGAATTACATGAAAACTGGAGAAGCATCCCCTATTTTAAAATAATTATAATTAAATAAGAATAAAGGGTTGAGAATTGATTGCATAAAATATAAGAAGACTACTTCAGGAGACCTTCAGAGAATCAATTTTCTGAGCAGAATTAAATTTTAATCTGTTAAGATTAGTTACTTTTAAAATTCTTTATTCTTTTTTTTTTTTTTTTTTTTTTTTGGATAAAGTGTCTCATTGTGAAATTCTAGCTGGCCTGCAACTCACTATGTAGAACAAAAACTGGCCTCAAACTTGCAGCAATCCTCCTGTCTTTGTCTCCTGAATGCTGGCATTATAGGCATAGGACACCACACAGCTATTTTGATTTTGAAGTCAGTAAAACATCTACAGATCCTTTTAAACTTTACAGAAAACCAAAGTATGCAAGAGTCACATTGGAAGAAAAGGTCATTCACACTTAGTTTACACAACAAAGTAGGAAAATGTTAGAGCTATTTGTTTTTCATACATTTTTGGAAGTGTTTAGCTCGATAGAGCACAAGAAACCTTTTTGGGGTAGGCTCTGACCCTCTTGATTGACAGGGTAGGGAGTCAACAAATGATCATAAGATGAGAACACAGCATTAGAAGTTTTAAAAATATTTAGAGTTTTTAAAATTCTTGGATTTTTGAAGTAATGTCAAGGACAGATGATTAAAGCTACTTTACAGTCACAGAGATGAAATGGGAATGATGCCTTCCACATAAGGACAAGAGAGGACAGACATATGCAATGATAAAAGAACAGGAACACAGAGATGGAGGGATGGAGAGTAGGCGAGGTTAGACACGGACAACAGATGCAGAAACTGCTCCCAAGAAGTGTGCTTTAGTGTCTGCGTGTCTATGTAAAGTTCCTGGGTGTAGGGGCTCTTCACATTCCATTCCTCACTGTGTTTGCGCTAGATGCTTTTATGTCAACTCGACACAGGCTGGAACCATCTGAAAAGAGGCAACTTCAGTTTAAAAAATGCCTTCATAAGATCAGGTTGTAGACAGGCTTATAAGACATTTTCTTTTTCTTTTTTCTTTTTCCAAAGATTTGTTTATTTTATGTGTATGAGTGCTCTCTCTGCAGGTACACCTGCAGGCCAGTAGAGGGCACCAGATCTCATTATAGATGGTTGTGAGCCACCATGTGGTTGCTGGGAATTGAACTCAGAACCTCTGGAAGAGCAGACAGTGCTCTTAACCACTGAGCCATCTCTCCAGGCATTTTCCTAATTGGTGATTGATGGGGGAGGGCCCAGCCAACTCTGAGTGGTGCTATCCCTCGGTTGGCGGTCCTGGGTTCTATAAGAAATCAGACTGAGCAAGCCAGGAGAGCAAGCCAATAAGCAGCACCCTCCACGGCCTCTGCATCAGCTCCTGCCTCCAGGTTCCTGCTCTGCTTGAAGAGCCCTGGGAAATCACATGGCTATAAAATCCAAGTCCAAAATTCCTACCCTATAGCAAATGGAGATCAGTGGTTAGTTTAGTTAATTGTAGTTTTTATTTTAAGTAGAATTATTTGTTTGGCATAAAGAAAGAATGACTGACTTTTGTGCTATCCTCTAGGGTTTTCCACTAGCCCAGGATTAGCTGAGGGTTCCCTGCTCTCTGGCAAACAGGAAATGTGAGTGCAGGCTGTCCTACCCTCTATCTCTTTGATGGTCCTTGTGGCTTTATGATTTATGATTATGGAATCAACTGATTTTTGTCTTCATGCATAGAATATTCAAAATGGCAATGTATTAGAAAATTAATTTCCAAAGTGTTACTGTTTATACTGTTATTAGTATGACTTGAGCTTTCAGAAAGCTGCAATTGTTTTAGCTGTGCTCATAAACAGTATGTTCTCTTTCTAAAAATAATTGTGTGTGCACGCACGTGCCTCTGTGTGTGTGTGTGTTGTCTGTGTCTGTTTATATATAAGTCATGCATGTGCAGGTACCAGAACGACTGGGAGCTGGAATTAGAGGTGGTTTTGAGCACTTGAAGTAGGTGCTGGGAACTAAATTTAGTTCTTCTGGATAAGCAGTAAATGTCTCTGAGACTGGAAGGATATGTAAGTCTCATTTTGGAGGTCTGTGGGAATGTGAGTACAGGCTAAACACTAGTGACATATTATAAGTTTGATCAAATATGAGTTAATTTCATGTGCAATCAGTTCTCTATAAGATTGCTGTGGGTTGAATTGTGTCTCTGCACTATGTGTATTGAGATCCAAACCCCAAATATCTATGAACGTGACTTTGTTTGGAAATAGGACCTTTGCATGTGCAGTCAAATGAAGATAAGGCCAGGAAGGTGAAGTGCTAGCATGGCCGGTAGTCTTATAGGAAGAGGGAAACTTGGTCACAGACACACAGGAAGCAAGCCATATGACAGCCGTGGTGCAAAGTGGAACCACACAGAGACAAACAAGGGGTAGTGGGACCCGAGACCAGCATAAAACACTGGAAAATGACAAAGAAACATGCACCATGGCCCTCAGAAAGAGCTAGGCCATGCCAGCACTGCGCTTTTTCAGGCCCCAGAACTGGAAGATCTTGGTTAGTGGCTTGAAGCCACTTGGTGTTCGACCTGCAGTAAGTCGTTAGGAGGGTCAAAGGTGATGATGTGTGGGAAATACGTTATAAGTGCCATGTGCTGTGCAGACGGCACACTGCGAGTGCCTTTCTCCACATATCCAATGGCGGAAGGTCGAATCCTGGCCATATTGCAACATCAGTATCATTCTCCATGAGGAAGCATGAAAGGGGCCTGCTTGGTTCTACTTACCTTTAGAGTAAAGGGGCGATCTTTGAAAGAATTAGAATCAAAGGCATTTTATGCAGATGAAGCCATTTCTATCCAGGGAGTGAATAGTCTACTCATTGTATTTTTGTTGTTCTGTTATGTTTTTCTATCCAATAAGTAGGGCAGCCTCAAACATTTAAGAATGTTCTGGTAAAGCCTACGTCACTGATCAGTTTTGTGACACTTGATCTTTGTCTGTTTGGTGACCGCTATAACATAGCACCTACTTTCAGCATGCAGGCCCTTCTACCCTCTAGCAGAGGAGGGCAGTGGGCCTGTTCCCCTGCCTCCGCCTCAGGCCCCTGTGTGCAGAGGACACCAAGTACTGTGATGTATTCTGGGGAGGTGTGATAGCAGTGGGGTTCCACTTAAGAGTGGCTATTTAGGGCATGGGCCATAGTGCCTCTCACTGGTCTTCACTCCCCTGCCACCATTCTGCTACCTGGCAGAGAGTGCTGACCCCAGGCATCCTTGTGCCAGACTGAATGTGACTGTGCCCTGGGGAGAGAGGATGTTCCTGTTTTTCTGAAAGACTTTGGGCATTAAGTTCCTTCACTGCTGTTAAGATCAAGACCTCTCCGTTTTAGAGGATCACACAGTCTCCATATGACTACCGACATGGAGGGTGTGCTCACAAGGATGAGTGTGAAGTAGCTCAGTGTGACCTGCGTGAGAGTCTGTCAGAAGGAAGAGCAGGGTTGCCCTGCAGGGGAGAGTGTTTCTGGCCTTTCCCCTTCACTTTACCATTCACATGGTACATTTCCCTGCAGAGCTGACTATGGGGCTATGGTAACCAGTTCCTGCTGCTGCATCTAGAGAAGAGGCGAAAGCAAGTCCCTTCCTCCAGCAGCACTGGCCATGAAACTGCTTTTTAGGATCAAGAAAAATGCAAACAAATGTTCCCTCCTGGAGTCTTACTGCCATGAGCATTGCTCTGTGTGTGGATAACATTGATCACAAGAAGAAGGAAGCCCTGGTCTGGTGAGCTTTCCCCTGATTGGCTGGACTGGAATCATGTTTTCCTCCTGATGAGTCTCACCACAGAACTCCCCAGTGCTAACCCCAGGATTCTTATGGAGGATGTTTTGCTGGTAAAGAGCTTGGAGTACTGAGTTTGATGATGCTAACTGACCCTTTCTTGGAGGCTCATGATCCATGTCAGCATTTTAAAGGTCCTGAGAAGGCCAGCAAATAGGATTTAGCTTTGCCTGAGAGTGTCAGACAGTCATCTGTTTACCAGATAGTCTTATAATGTGTTCATATTCTTGTAAGTGTTAAAACCTATATTAAAATGAGTGTCTTAGGGTTCTGTTGCTGTGAAGAGACACCATTACCACGGCAACTCTTATCAAGGAAAACATTTCACTGGGGCTGGCTTACAGGTCAGAGGTTTAGTTCATGGTGGGGAACACTGTGGCATGCAGGCCGACATGGTGCTGGAGGAGCCAGGAGTTCTACATCTTGATCCACGGGCAACAAAGGGAGACTGTGTGCCTCACTGGGCATAGCTTGAGCATAGGAGACCTCAAAGCCCACCCCACAGTGACACACTTCCTCCAACAAAGCCATACCTCCTAATAGTTCCATTCCCTATCAGCCAAACATTAAAACACATGAGTCATTGGTGGTGGTGGGGTTATACCTATTCAAACTGCTTCAATGACACAGGGAAAGTCTCTCTTGTCATGAGGTTTATCCTGTGGGGTGAGTCAGACAATGTACAGTTAATTCCTGTGTACTATGTTGGCAGATGGTGGTATGATAAAGGACGCTGCTCAGGAAGGGGTGGTTTAGGAATGCCCTGGTCCAGGGCCATTGGTGCTACCTTTTTTTGTTTATTTATTTATTTCTGGAAAAATGAACTTAATATTTAGCTGAGGATGACCTTTACTTCCTGACCCTCCTGTGTCTGCTTTGCAAAAGAAAGTGGGAGAGTGCATCTAGCAGTTACCCGAGTGAAGAACATTCCAGAAGGGTGGACTAACAAGCACAAAGATTCTGAGACACAAGGAGGTTCATCATGTTAGAGGCCAGTCTGGCTGGGCAGAGAGAAGCCAGTGGTGACAGTGAAGCTGAGGAGCTAAGGACAGGGACAGGGGAAGTAAGGCCCCTTGGGGGCTTTCAAAGGGAATGATGTCTTTTGTCATATAATGAGAATGGATGGGACAAACATAAGACCAGGAAGATGGAGGGGAGGCCCTCCGAGTGTCCAGGTGATGCATGAC